TTTATTTCCATTAATTAGTTATTGGACAGGTATACATTAGAGAATATAGAAAGAACGTTATGCATTATATTTTTCTTTATTTTTAAGAAAATGTATATCTTATTGTCCATAAATTTCAGGCTTATGAATATTAATTATGTACATAATTATATCATTTCTAAAAGTAAGAATCATACTGAGTCACGTTTGCATTATATATTCCAAAAGATTCATAGTGACACTAATCCTTTGAATAAAAGCATGAATAACTTTCTCTGTTAATCTAAGACTGTTAGAACCACTTCAGCTTCATTGCCACTGGCTTTGTCTTCCCAGCTCCCTGCACAGATCAGCTAATTGGCTCACTTTCACATCTACCTACCTTAGTTCTTGAATCCATTATGACCTAGCCACGGGTATGTCAGCAGCCTCAGCCTCACCATCTACTGCTGAGAATTAAGTTAATTGCTAACCCATGTTTGATCATGTACAATGTGGGAGGATCTCTAAACAGCTGTGTATCTCTCATCCAGTCTTCCAGCCCACTTTCAATGAAATTTCAATATAATCTATGTTTGCTTACCTAGGCCCCCTTATATAAAAAACAACTTAAATAAATAGAGGAGAAGAGACAAATCTCCCATGGAAGGAAATTCCAAATAATCTGTTTAGATATTCTACCTCAAGTAGATGCACTGTAACTCCCCACTCCTTAAATGTAGCCCATATGTAGTGACTTTTTTACAAAGTGTATAGTCTGAAAAGTGGAAAAAAGAGGAACATTAGAGTTGAAAAACCTGTCAAACACTATCTTAGCCAGGTAATCAAGGTCTATATCAATGATGTTAAGTTATATTGATAGGTACCCTTGATATGTCAGGAATATGGCACTCTATTTCTGTGGTCTTCCTCTCAAAAACCCATAGCTCTAGTCTAATTATGAGGAAAACATCTGCAAATCCAAGTGAAGGACATTCTACAAAATGTCTGGCCATTGCCTCTCAAAACTCTCAAAGTTGCCAAAAACAAGACAAATCTGAGAAGCTATCATGACCAATAGGACTAAATCCAATGTGATACCCTAGATAGGATGGTGAAACTGAAAACGCATTAGGTAAAAACTAAGAAGTTCTTTTTTAAAAGTATTTATTTAAGTAACCTCTGCACCTAATGTGGTCCTCAAACTCATGACCCTAAGATCAAGAATCACATGGTCTTCTGACTGAGCCAGCCAGGTGCCCCCAAAGCTAAGGAATTCTCAATAAAGTAATGGACTTCAGCTAACAATAGTATATCAGTATTGGGTTCATTAATTATAACAAATAACCATATTGTAAGGTGTTAATAATTGGGGAAATTTGGTATAGGGTATATAGGAACTCTCTATACTATCTTCAAATTTTCTATAAATCTAAAACTTTTAAAATATAAGCTTATTTTAATAAACAATATGAGAAACGATAATATTTATTGAATCATTGCTTTGTGCCAGATACTGCTAAAAGCATTTTTTTATATCACCTTACTGAATACTAAGGATGACCTTATGAAATGAGTACTGTTATACTCATTTTATAGGTAAGGAAATTGAGATGTAGGTTAAATGGATAAGTAGATTTCTTAAGACCAAACTGAAGAGGAAGAATTCCAATCCAGGTGGTCTAACTTTAGACTGCATACTTCTTTTGGTCCTATTTATGTAACTTATTAGCAGACACTGAGCACAAGAAAAATGCTTGTATAGCATTTTCCCAAAACTAGCAGTCATCAGACAAATAAGGAAGAATAAATAGAAAATTCCTGCTTGCCAAGAGACAAAATAAATGTACTTCTAAAGAAGACTGAAGAATTGAGATTTGAAATAAAGGCAGAAGAAATTCAAAGAATGATGAATCTTACCGAAGCATATCCACAACTTTGACTCTTGAAACCTTTGCAGACAAGATGAAGTGGGTCAAGCATATGAAATGTGTTGCATAGTGAGACATATATTGTCTAACACATAGGCTATACTGGAGCTAAAATATTGTCAAAAATTACTTAAAAAGTCTAAAGTACCAGAACATGAACATGACTACTTGTTTACAGTCTCTCACTCCAGTTTCTCTTTAGGACTGGATGTCATTAGGACTGGGTGTCTCCCTGACCCCAAAACTTAGCTCTCTGAGGTAGGGCCCTATTATACAGCTTAACTCATATTAATCTCTTTTTCTGGAGTCTAGGGAATGGGCAACAGAGAGCAATAGAATTCATGATTAGTACTCTCAACTACAATTCAATGTGCACTTCAACTTGTAAGTTTTTATTTATGTCCTTGCCTAAGTTTGATCTGCACCAGGCAGTGACTTATTTCTGATGCCTTCCTCTATCTGTAGGATGTTGGCCCTACCTAGGCTCTCCCTGACTTTAACACTCAATAATGTCATGTATAAAATGAGATCAGGAAGGCAGGTCTTTCTGACCACGGGTTCTGTCCTGTGCTTTAATAAGATCACCTTTTTGCACAAAAAAAAAAAGAAAAAAGACCACGAAAATATGTATGTTACAGATTGATGTTAGGATTAAATGAGATAATATCTTTTTAAATTTTCCATATAATCTCTGTGATCTAATGTAATGAAGCTTGAAGTTGAGTGAATCACTGAAAAAATTGATTAAAACATAAACACTGAATCTTTCACTCAAAAACATATTAATATACTTTTACTCACTAGACTTTTGGTGTAAGCACAAGGCCATTTGTTGTTTTGGTCTTTGCACACAGCTTTGCGTGATAGTGTCACTCTTTGGAGTTCTATCTTATTTTTTGTACATCAAGCATACCTCTAAGGCAGTCTACAGTGTCCAGCTTTGGTTCACTTAAAGTTAAACAACAAATTTCCATTTTTAAAAAATGGGAGACTTAAGATGATGCTCTCACCTTTTCAGAATCACACAAAGGCAACAACTGAAAACCGAAACACAATCTTGTTTAACAAAATCAGAAAGCATGTTAAACGTCAAATCACGTGTTTTATGAAGCACAATGAAGGTAAAGAGGGAGGCAGAAAGATACCAAAAGAAAATTACCAGGGTTAAAGATCACTGACAAAACCAGCAACACAGTTCTCTAGACTGGAATATTCTAAGGAGCAAAATCAACAATTCCTAGTTTGGAACAAATGCAATTGATGACCAGGATCATGATTCCCAATTTGGCATAAAAGAGAAACAGAGAATATTGGAGAACCCAAGGAATCACACTGAAAAGCCTTATTTATAGGAAGCAGTATGCTGGTGAGGCAGGATCAGAAAAAGATGATGACTTCTGACTTGTCCTGTAGTTGCTGACCTCAGATGGCTGGAGAGAAGACTAAATAAAGCCTATAATTCAAACACATACACAATTTTGTGAGATGAGAAGTCTTGCTGGCTTAAAGTGCAGGCCTGGATCCAGTCCAATATAAGCTACTGCATTTGGTTCAGGAGTATTCATTTGATTCAAAGATGGGCAAGATTTTAAAAAGAGCTAGAGAAGGAAAAATAAGATAAAAACAGAGAAGGAGACAAACTATAAGAGACTCTTGAATACAGAGAATAAACAGGATTGATGGTGGTGGAAGGTAGGTTAAATGGGTGTTGGGCATCAAGGAGGGCACCTTTTAGGGAGCCCTGGGTGTTAAATGAAAGAGAAAAATCACTGTTCTACTCCTGAAAGCCGAGACTATACTGTATGTTAATTAACCTGAGAATAAAAAATAATTTAAAAAATAATTTAAGAACATTTTTTTTTTAAATAAAAGGGTTGGTGAAGGAGGTAAAATCTACTTGGGTTCTGTACCAAAGGGAACATCTTTTCTGCAAAGCTGCACTAGAAATTGAGACAAAACCTTATTTTTCACCATTACCTTTTTATACTTTTTAAATTCAAAAGAAATTTAATGCAGTAAAAGAATAGAAACTTTGAAGATAAATAATAATTTTGTTTAGACTTTTACAAAGAAAATCTGAGTACAAATCCTTTCAGATTTTTTAGTCTTTTTATACAGACTTTCATGTGTTTTGACCACATGTAATTTAAAAAAAATTTTTTTAATGTTTTTATTTATTTCTGAGAGAGAGAGAGAGAGAGACAGCATGAGCAGGGGAGGGTCACAGAGAAAAGGAGACACAGAATCCAAAACAGGCTCCAGGCTCTGAGCTAGCTGTCTTGAACCCACAAACTGTGAGATCATGACCTGAGCCGAAGTCAGACATCTAACCGACTGACCCACCCAGGTGGCCCTGACCACATGTAATTTGACAGCAGTTTCTTCTTAGTGACTTTCCTTTATCAATCCTTTTACAAAGGCATCCAATTTATAGAAACAACTTTTCCTTTTGCATTAATATTTCATGAGTTATGTAATATTTACCTATATCATCACAGTGCCATAACTGGCATAATAAGTTTAGAAACAAATACAATTGACTCAGTAAACAAATTTCAACTGTTGTGAACAGAACCATATATGTTCTAAAAAGTGGCCTGCTAACCACAACAGTTCATTGTACTGTGGAGATCCTATATTTTTTAGAAAAAACAGAAAATAATGCTTGTTGATGGATTTGTCACGTGAGGGCATTACCTTAAATATGAACTTATGTCCTTATTGTGTTTTTGTTGCCTTTGAATTATTCTCTAGGATATGTAGTTTTAGATATATCATTTTAAATTTTTAATTTTACTCAAAAAAGGTTTATTGAGCACCTACTATGTACCCCAAGCATAGAAACAAGTTAAAGTAGATATTTCATCAACTTGTTGAAATTAAACAATAGGATGTTACTGCTGTTTTTATTTATGATATGCTGAATAGGTACGGAAGATATTAATGAAAGAACTTAGTTTATTGACTTTCTTCATTCATATCATTAGAGTTCTTCAGACACCTAAATTTGTTTTAAATTATTAGTGTTGGTTTTACTTTAGGGTATGTTTGATAAGGAAAAGCGATCTTTTTAACTGTTGTTAAATTTCTTGTTGCTGTTCTTTCTTGAAGCTGCCAGAAAAAGTTATAATGGACTACTACGAGAAGTATAAGCCTCGAATGAGTGAGCTGGAAGCTTTTAATATGGTAAATCTCAGAATTAAACATATTAAATTGGATCTGTTGCTAAACTTGAATAGGGTTCAATTAAATTTTATTATGGGACCAACCAATCTATGTTATTTTTTTCTTACTGTAGAAAAACCGTTTTGGATCATTTCCTATTTCAGAACTATATTAGGTGTCAGTAATGTAATAAAGAGAACACATGGTAGATTTCTCTTAAAATGTACCATAAATGCACGGAAGAAATTTCAGAGTTCTTTGAACACATACTGGTCTCAATGCAGTTATTTCCCCAGCATGCCTTTTAATGAATTTCATTCTTAGTACCTCGGAAAGCTCTCTATCACATACATATGACTGCCTTTGGATTCTACCTCAGAGACACTCAAAGGACATTCTTTTCCTATTATTATTAAAGAAGAATTTTGATCTCTGCTGTATTCATTTTTTGAATATATACAGTTAGTATTGGAGATGTGGCCCTATATAAATTTCTATAGATGCATTTTCTTAAACATAAGTGTGGAGCTAGTTGGAGTTTTTTTTGTTTTTGTTTTTGTTTTTAAAGTTCTGCCATCCTGTCTTATCCTTTCTTTTAGCTGAAAGTTGTTCTGGCTCCTTGTATAGAGGCACTGATTCTTCTGGATCGCCTTTGCTATCTGAAAGAGCAGGTAAGTTGTAATGTTTTCAAATACATAACAAATATCTTTATTTAATCTAGTAAATGGACCCACTATTATCTAGGATAAGTTTCTTTTACATACAACTAGTCAGATATTTTTTCTCATTATATTTTCCAAGTTTAAATATCCATTCCATCTCTTTGTAAACATAAACCTGTGTACAACAGATGTTTTCAGCAAACCTATTATAATAAAGTTTATGTTCTTTTAATTGTATGCTAATTACTATATGGTAGGCAGTGAACACAACCATCATATATGACATATAGCTAAATTTAATAAAGGCCAGATGTAAAAGATATTATGTATATATATGTTTCATTTAATGAGAAGTTACCTTTTAAATCACTTTTGGATTTTGCACATATGTAATCTGCATTATAAAAATTTCTGATCAGTGAAAATTGCTTTTGCGTTTTCACAGCCTTGGTTTTTTTTAATCTATGTTGAATGCCCCAAAACCCTGGTTTTTTGCTTATCTTTAAGGGAAATATTCTTTTGCAGATTTTACACTGAGCTGTGATCAAAATAATTATGTGAACGGACTGTTTAAATTAAACCCATACATGGATTCAGCCTCATGTTTCCACCATAAGCCCCTTATTTTAACAATTTTGCTTTATCAGAATGGGTAATTTTACTTTCTTCTTTTCAACAGGCTACTTGGAACAAATGGATTTTAATAAATGTTTGCTTTTGTTCTAATTTATATTTTTATGGAAAAAACAATTTTTAAATATTTGGATAATTGTGTACTTTCTTAAGCTACCTCTTAACTCAAAATCACTGGCAACCTTTGGTTTCCAACTTCATAGATGACAGAATCAGGCCTGTTTTACTAGGTACTCATTATTTCCCTTTTCAAAACAATTTCTATTGACCTAAATAAAATAAGTAAATGGCAAAAAAAATAAATTAAATTAAATAAGTAAATGGTATGCACAAAGATTAATAGATTGGTAATGAAATAATAGAAAACATATAAATATTAACTTGTTAATAAAATATTGCTTAAATAGTAATATCTTAAATATTATTAAACAATATTTTATTATTATAAAAGTAACACATATATGTCAGAAAATTTTAAATGAATATAAACAAGAAAATTAAAAATAACAAAGAGTCCCATCTTTCAGCACTAACTTAAATTTTTATTTTGTTTTCTAGTGCCTCTTTCTAATGTATGTATGTTACACACATATGTATGAGCACATTATTTCTGCTTTAATTAAAATCTGGAGCACCTGGGTGGCTCAGTCAATTAAGCTGTCTGACTCTTGATTTCAGCTCAGGTCATGATCTTGACCCAGGTCATGATCTCACAGTCCAGAGACAGAGCCCTGCTCAAGATTCTCTCTCTCTCTCCTTCTACCCCTCCCTGTTCTCTAAGATAAACTAAGATAAGATGATGATAAGAATAAGGAATCAAATTATAAGTGCAGTTTTGCATCTAATCTGTTTCATTTATTTTATTAAGAATTTTCTCATCTCAGCACTGGGTGTTATGTGGAAACTAATTTGACAATAAACTATTTGTAAAAAAAAAAAAGGATTTTCTCATCTCATTAAATATACTACTGAAGCTCAATAATGTTTCATCATATAACAATTTCTTTAAGTAATACCCAATTTTTTTCTACCACTTCCACTTTTTCACAATTTCAGCAAAGTAACTGTGTAGTTTACTATCTTACGTACATCTTTATTTCCTCAACATAAATTCCTGTAGGTCAAATTGTTAAATATTCATTCAGCAAAGAATAATTTTCTTTTATATACTTTGTTTTTTATGTTGTTTTTATATTATATTACAATATATAACCTGACTCCTCTTTCATTCTTATCTTCAACAACTTGCTATGTATTTAAATCACTTATCAATTTGCAGGAAGATATTGCCTGGTCTGCACTTGTGAAGTTGTTTGATCCTGTGAAATCTCCCAGATGTTATGCTATTATTGCTCTGAAGAAGCAGCAATGATTTCAGTTGAAACAAGGTATTAGATGTATCTGTTTGTGGAAACTATCACTAATTTTGCTCTTCTAAACATTTATGATGTTATGTAAATATTTGAAAAACATTGCTCTATATTTTAAATAAACAATGCAATGATAGCTAACCACAGAATATCATAATCCATTTTTCCATTGTCAAAGCATACATTAATAAAATAAGAACTCATGAAAATATTAAAAAAAGTATTGACCCACATTCCTGAGTTCATATGTCAATAGGACATTGTAATCTGACCTGTTTCCTTTTAAGTATTTGAGACCCTTAATATTTGCTACATACCACATTTTGACTTTTATTGATTTAAAAACTTTTACTGACAGAGGAAAGATATAGGTGTATATATAATAAAATTAGTACAGAAAATCATTTGCATTTTCCTCCAGATTTTGGAAGGATTTTCCATGTAATCTGGATGGAAAAATCCTAAAAAGAACAAAACACCCAGGAGCCAGGCAGATACAAAAAGTGCTGAATATGTGTTTTCATCTAAGTTACATGAGAAAATATTCTGTGCCCTTAAAGGAATATGCATCTTGTGAGATTCACTTTAAGGAATCTTGAAGCTATCTATCTTATAAAGAGATGAAATTACCTTGTGCTCTGTAGAAAGCCAATCTGTGAAAAGCAAGACTGAATGAAAGAAGGCCAGGGCTATGCCCAGTGTGGTACGGGTTCTTTTCATGTGCAGAAATCTTGAGGATGGGCATGGAGGAGGGCACTTGTGGGGATGAGCACTGAGTGTTATATGGAAACTAATTTGACAATAAACTATTTGTAAAAAAATGAAAGAAATCTTGAGGTTTCTAATGTACACAGAAGATATGGGCAGTTGGCAAAATCTTCCTTGATGCTCAGCAAAAGACTATAAAATTCTCCCAGCAGAAGAAGTAACTACTCTCTTAAATTTTAGAGTCTATCCACAGATGGAAAGAATAATTTTTTTGCTTTGGGTTGTGATAGGATGTTTGCAGCCAGTATATATGTGAAGGATCAGATACTTTGTATAGGTAGTACAATACTAGAGAAATTAGCCACTTTTTATGCTTTTTATTATGGAACATTTCAAATATGTTCAGAAGTGAAGAGTAGAGTCTAACGAATCCCATACTTCAATAATTATCAACATTTGGAGAGAGGGCAAGATGGCGGAGAAGTAAGGAGCTCCGTACTTGCACTCGCGCCCATACATCACACAGAAAAGATCCGAAGACCTTGGAAACCTTACAAAACCTGAGAGATTGGGAGAAAAAAGACGCAGAATCCACTGAGAGAGCCTTCTAAC